GGCCTTACTACTAGGAACAAGAAGCTATTAGTAGCTAGAAGCTATTAGGTTGGAGGCCATCGCTAGTAGGTTGGAGGCCGTCGCTTCCGCCGAGCTTGGAATTGACTTGGATGAGTTGCCAAGCTTTGGTAACTGTAATGATTTAAGTACGTTTATATTAAATTGCATAGACATTGTTTGTGATTCGCTCATCCTCAATCTTTGTGCTCAAGGCATTCACATGCCAGGTGGGTTTTAGTAATTCTTCTGCTCTGAGGCCATCAAATATGATGGCCACAAAGGAGCTTCAGATTCAGTTGGAGAAGAGGTTGCAGAAGCAGAACGAGGAGTTCACTAGTCCGATGCGGCGTTTGCATGGTATCAAAAATTTGAATCTACCTCCTCGCTCGGGCACGACTTTGGCTCCGATTCGCATCGCTTCGCCCTACCCCTCGACAGAGCCCTCCCCACGCGACGCAGAGCACCCGATCTGGAAGCGGATCCGGGCAGCGGAGAAGCAGCGCGATGAGGTGCTTTTGTTAGTTTGGTCCGGGTAAGGGAAAATGAAAACAAATTGCTATAGAGAGAGCTTTTAGGGATTTTGGAACAATGGATGCTGACCAGAAGATATTGGATGCTGACTAAAAAGAAAGTATATATAAGCAATAATCATTAGAATAAAACCCTTTTTGATTAATGGGGGAAGTTTCTGCCAAGGAAATTGTTTATTAGGGTGATGGAATTGTGGAATTCAGGTTTTAAATTCGTTTAGTATTGGGGGCTCGCAGCTGGGCTTGATTAATAGGGGGGAGGTTACCTCATCCTTTATTAACATAAACGTTGGACGGGAGTTAATAAGGTGTTTAAGGCCGCTGTACCCATGGTCCCGCTGCCCCACCTCCACCAGGCGCTGCGGCAGCTCCGGGAGATCGAGCACAGCTCGGCGAAGACGGGGTGCGAGGCAGCTGCTGAGATCGTGCGCCTGCGGATGAAGACACAGGACGGACAGCAATGGACGAGTCGCAGTGGACGATCGAAAGTGACTCTAGTGGACGGCGAGCATAAAAGGAAGCATCATAGGACAACAAGTTGAATCATCGTAGGCAAGGATAGTCTGGACGTGGTGTGGTGTGATAGTTGAACATTTTCGACAGAGTGATGCTGGATGAATTGGGTTGTGTTCGGTAACATGCAATAGTGACTTAAGATGGTGCAGCCATGCCGTGGTTTTCACGGGTGGGAAGGACTGCTTTCACAGATCTGCAGGACATGAAACGAGAGGTGAACACGGCCAAGGAGGAGGTGCATGTGCTCCGAAGGACGCGGACGCAGGATATGCTGCGGCAACGAAGCGCTGAGGAGGCACACGAGAGATTGAGCTATGCCTCGGAGTGTGCCATGAAGCAAAAGCTGGAGCTGGAGGCCCGTGGTTAGACATCTACCAACGGCCTGGAAAACGACATGAAAACGAGATGAGTCCACAGTAAAGAACAGGTGAATGCACACAGAACATCAGGAATCAGTATAAGGATAAGGGTGTTTGATGATAGACATTTCTATTTCGTAGTGACACCGACGGTCTTGAGGCTGAAGTCCTCCGGGCCAAGGAGGAAAAGCGGCAGTTAGCTGAACAGGTGGAAAAGCTGGAGTCGGCAGTCACCCAGCACATCCGTACGAAGGTGGAATTGCAAGAGAGGCTGATGAAAAGCCGCGAATGTGAAGTGAACTTGCGTGAAGAGTTGAAGAATCGCAAGTCTGAGTTGGCCATGAAAACCTTCTCCTTACACACGGATGATGATGCTGATGATACAGATGATCGTGATTTGGATGATTTAGAGTTCAGTTACGATGGTCTGGATCTCTGCAATTTGATGCCCTTTGATCGAGCCTTCCGTCTAGCCAGCTCAGGGCGGCACAAACCGGTAGAGCTAGAGCCGGCAGAGCCCGAGCTAGATGACCAGCAGTTCCAGGAGGCCGTCGAGTCCTTGGAAAAAGTCATTCTCGAGTTCACTCGTTCTCTTGAAGCGGAGGAGGCTGAGAAGGCGAAGACCTCACCGGCCTCGACGGCACCTGTCACACCGGTTGCACAGCCCATTGCGCCCGAGTCGGAGACCGAACACCGAGTGGAGACCATTGAGGCTGAAGAAGCCACGCCGAAGTCGCCGAAGTCACCCCCGCGGGTTCTCTCGGGCTTTGCTTTCATGTCTCCTTATGCTTCCTTGTACAAATACATGTGACACGACTCATGTCACCTGATCAAACAAGCTGCGTGAAGCAGGCAGCGTGAGGCTGCAACACTTCACACATTCGGCATCGCTGTTCGGGCTTTGGCCATCCACCGTACGGATGGGTGGTCCCAAAAGGGACAGACATTCAGAAAATGCCGTGCATCGAAAAGAAGACCAGCGACCGACAAGCCTTTAACATCCTTTAACTAATCATGTTCAAAAACTGCTGTAAGACCATGTAAAACCCATAAAGCAGAGCAGAGACCATGATCGGCATTCAACACTCTGATACCGGCCCAAGTGACGAAGCAACATTAAGGGTGCTAGGATGTGCTAGGCAGCTTGTGAGTCTTTAGTCTCAAGTAATATATAGATATAGGTAAATGAGCTTGCCACAGCAACTGCAACAACCCGCTGCACAGCTACAAAATACAAGAGTCGTGCGATTATCCCGCTGGCCTATCATGACGGATATTGAAGATCTCGCAACTCTTGCCGCACAGTCGCTTGTCCTTCAAGATTTCCCCTGGTCATCCCACCATGACGGACAGCATATATAAGAAGACCCCGCCACTACCCTCAGTCTCCAACAAGCACAAGTTTCACTTGAAGACTGAAGACCTGTCCTTGCTCCTAGTAGCGATGCCCTTTGTTACTGACCTGGCTGACTTGCGAAGTTCTCCATTCTCCGAGCTTGAGGTTTGATCACCGGAATGTTCGCGCTCCAAGTTCTTTGGAAGAGGTGGTTAGCTCTGGAAACTGCATGGGGCCTCTGCCTCAGCTAAAGCAAAAAGTACTGGAATTGGGAAAACAACGCACTTGTTACTAATGTTGGCGATGCACTTGTGACTGCCTTTGGCTTCGGCGATGTTTCCGGTCTTTGGCCGAGGTGTGGCCTTTGCGAAAGCATCGCCGGCTCCGAGTTCCTGGAAATGAAGGACGCATCGGTCGTCTCGTTCGTCTCGAACGTCGAGCGTCGAGCGAAGCGAAGCAGGTCTTGCCACCGAAGCAGCGAATGAGACCAGTCTTCCACAAGGTTCGATAATGCGGAGACGGGACATGCGTGAGACAGGAGAGGATTGTGAGACTTTCCCGGACTCTTCCTGCAAAAAAAGCCATGGTGTTCATCAGTTATAAGAATGTTATAAGATCCCCTTTTGATAGATCGTTTAGTGCTCTCAGGTGTTGGGCCAGCGTTTGTTCCCCGCTTTGGTGAATCGCCTTTGGAGGCCTTGACACCAGAGATTGCAGCCAAGGCTTTGGCCGCATGTCCAGGCGCCCAGGCCGGCGATTTCAAGGAGAACCTCGGAGACCTGACGATCAGAGTGTCATCCATGTGCTGTTTTAGAAATCCCTAAGGCCCTAAAGACTTGCAGCAGCATAAATGATTCACTGATACTATTCCGTATAAATATCTATTGTACCTTTGCCGACGTTTTCGTTACATAGGCCGTGATGAGTCCATTGTGTGACGAAGTCATTCTGCAAAAAGACATGTGCACATGTGTAGCTTAAGCACTTCGCGTGTTCCTCCGACATCCGCAGGTGGGTGGCATACCAGGCACGCGAGCAAGCTCGCCATACCAAGCGAGTGGCGAAGTTGCGGTTCGCGCCCGGACAGGTTGGACACCTTCCACCGGGTTAGAAGCCTTTGTCGGAAAGGCTGGGCAAACAGCGCTGTGCCACTGGCCGATTTTAGATCCTCATAGATCCTCAGATGGTCATAGACATTCATAGACTTTTTGGGTGCTTAGCCGGCAGTGAGAGCCTTGGAACAGTATCAGTATGCGGTTGTATGCGTGTGAGTGTGCATACTCCTTGAAGTAAACATTATGGGTTTTAGAGAATCTATTTAGAAACTTCTACATCACCCGCAGTGATGTTCTTGGATTTAGCCGTCCTCAGTCTCGAGCTGATCTTCGCTTCAGGTGGTCTCCATTCAAAAGGGCTATGCTTCTGATCCAGAGACTCGCCCCCTGGCTGCCTACAAGCGGTTGGCCACCGCTGGGCTAGCCATGCTGGGCACACTCCTTGGAAATTCGCAGCAAATCCGCTAGATAAATCTACTATATATCATAGATGGCCTTTTAACATTGGTTGGTTGGTTGGTTGGTTAATACGCTTAATAGAGGGGATACCCCCAATTGTACAAGCAATGGGTATATATGGTGCCAAACCGACCCCTCTATTACTCCAATCATTGATCTATCTAACTATCTACAGGTAATATCAAGGCGCCTGCACTTCTTCACACCCATGAGGCCCTCATGTGTGGCCCTCATGTGTCATCGAAGAGGAGGTCCATGAGGCACCAGGTTCAGTCCAGATCATGTTGTTGTCCAATGGCCGGATGACCACTTGAAGGCTCTTCCTAATTGAATCTATTTGGGGTATAAGATGGTATAAGTACGTACTAACCCACGTGATATCACGTGATCCTTCAAGCAGTATGTTGATCTCATCGCCCAGGCTTCAAGGCGGCAGCTGCCGGCGGGCTCACGACTCTGGCGTCGCATTTGATCGACTCCAAGCAGGTGCGAAGTGCGGTGGTGGATTCAAATCCGACATCTTTGAGAGTGGTTTGTCGACAATCCTCCAAAAACTGTTGAAGCCTCATGAAGCTTCCGATGTATTTAAGAGCTGTCATTTAATTTGTTTGACTTGGATCATGGATCTCTGCAGCTGTAGGCTTGAAATACCTGAATGCACCGGCTTGGCCACGGCTCTCCTTGCCTGACTTGGCTCAGTCTCAGAACAGCTCGAGTCCCACGAGCCAGTGCCGACTTGTCGCAGATGCCGACGGGACCCTTTGCCTCCAGTGTTGGCATAGGGCGGGCTGAACCCGAATGGGCTGCCTTAAACAGAGTCCAGGAGACCGTGGGAAAGGATCCAATCTTCCAAGCAGGTGAAGCATCGGAAGCCCCTTTGCAGCTTGATGGGGCGATTTTGAGTGGGGACCTCTCAACAGTCGGGTCTTGTGACCTTTTGATTGTTGGGGCTGGCTTGTCAGGTGCCGTGCTGGCGGAGCGATGTAGCAGAGAGCTAGGCATGAGCTCACTGATCTTAGACAAGCGAGACCACATCGGGGGCAATTGCTATGACTATGTCGACGAACATGGAATTCGATGCTCCAAATACGGAGCACATCTCTTTCACACGCAATTTGAGCGAGTGTGGGACTATGTCTTGCAGTTCTCCGAGTGGATCCCCTTCGACCACCGGGTGAAAGGCTTGGTCCCAGACCAAGATGGCGTCAAGAAGTTGGTGCCAATTCCACCCACGCAGGAGTCCGTGAACACCTTGTTTGGGGAAAGGATTCAGACGGAGGAGGAGATGCAGGCATGGTATGACAAGGAGCGAATACCACCTCCAAGTGGGGATCCAAAGAATGGAGAGGAAGCAGCTTTGTCTCGTGTTGGACCCAGATTATTTGAGAAAGTCTTCAAACACTACACCAAGAAGCAATGGGACAAGTATCCAGCAGAGCTTGATGCTAGCGTTCTCCTTCGTCTTCCATGCCGAACATCAACAGATGATCGCTACTTTCCAGATCCTTGGCAAGCGTTGCCTATGCGTGGTTACACACGCATTTTCGAGAACATGTTGCTGAATGATCCGAATATCACAATTCGGCTGAATTGTGATTTCTTCAAGCTCAAAGAAGCAGGATCACTTCCATCGCACAAGCTTCTCGTCTACACCGGGCAGATTGATAGCTACTATGCAGCCTTGGGAATGCCCAAATTAGAATATCGTTCACTCAGATTTGAGGAGGAATTTCTTCAAGAGCCCGAAGATGGGTTCTTTCAGGAGGCCATGGTGGTGAATCATCCCTCTCCTGATGTGTCCTTTACTCGAATTGTCGAGTACAAGCACATTCCAAACCAGCCTACTGCGGTGAAGGAAGGGAAGGTCAGAGGTACCCTGATCGCGAGGGAATACTCCTCAGCTGAGGGGGAGCCATATTATCCAGTGCCAAACCCTGCGAACAGGGAGCTTTATGAGAAGTATGCAGCATTGGCTGCAAAGGAGGAGGGGGGTGGCCTTTGTGGGCCGCTTGGCTTCTTACAAGTACTTTAATATGGACCAGGCGATTTTGAATGCCTTGGAGATGTTTGACAACTTGAAGGAGACCGGCAAGTTGGAGCCCAAGCGGAAGCCTGAAGACTTTGGACCAGGTGACGGTCCCAAATGATGCCCACCCGGTGAATCAAAAAAACGCGAAGAAAATGCCAATGAAACGGTTTCACCAGATGTGAAGCGATTCAGGTTGAGAAATGCTAGATTGATGCCGGATCAGTCTTTGCAGTAGATCGCTTGTTGAATGCCCTTCACATGTTTTGCATAGTTTTGCGCCTTGACAATGTCAAGGGATCAAACACCGCGCAAGAACAGCTCCTGAGAGTTCAGAAGCTGCAGATTTGTGCAAGCACCCGAGGAAAAGGAGACTGGCTTGTGCGGAAGGACACGGCTTAGTAAGAAAGGGCCTGCCCAATATCTCATTCGCACATATTCGCACGTGAGCATGAAGCAGTTTGTTTGAGAGAGAGAGAGAGAGAGCATGCAAAGAGTCACATGCATTTCTTGTTTTCCGCGTGTCCCGCGTTTGCAGGTGGATTTCGTGGTCCATGTGAAGGCCTGTGCTCTCTACAGCGATGTCTCCACCCAGGGCTCCAAGCTCAGCTTCAGCAGCGCAGAGGTGCACCACGCGCGATGCAGACGGACTGATGCTGGACCGTCCTGGACCAGTCGCGCAGCCCCGTTCGTAGCGTCCGAACGCTCCTAGTAAGGCCAGGAGCTTGTGCCTAGTAGCGATGACAGGAGCCCCTAGTAGCTTCTTGCCACACCGCGTTTGGTGATCCCTTTGCTACCAGACGATCATGGAAAGAACGCCGGCATGGCCGTTGCCGCAGGTCTTCGAGGGCAAAGGCTCACGATATGGACCCGTCGCACCGTTGAAATCCTTGGAGGACGCGATCGGGTTCAATGGAATTTAGATGAATTTGCACCTGACCTGACGACATATTTACCAAAAGACTCCTAGACTGCAATGTTCGCTACTAGTCACAAAGGGCATCGCTGGCGAATAAGGAGCGATCGGACGCTACGAACGGAACAACCTGGCCTTGGCAAACGAACGGAGCGATGGGCATCGCTAGGAACCAAACATCGGTGGACGACCTTATCCAGGAACCGGTAGTGGCACCGACCTGGCTCGTGACCGATGTGCCAGGATGCCTTAAAGCTAAACCGCCCCTTTGCTGTCGTGGCAAAGCCCTGTGACATCAACGCGGTGCGCCACTGGGCAACCGTGCTCTCTTGTCTTGTGCAACGTGTTGTTGGTGATGTCGTTAGATCTATCAGGGACACTGGTTTTCTCACAAAGCGCGTGTAGGTGACAACATGTGTACTGTATGACTCTAGGTGACACACAGACTTTTGACAATGACAATCTGCTACGAAGCCCTGCAACACAAATTCTATCAAATTCTCATCAGATAACTCACGCTTGTTTGGCCATCTCCACGGCTCTTAGCAGCCGCCCGAAAGCTTATAGTAATAAGATGTAATAAGTACAGACTATATAATGCTATTTTTCAATTATCCATGGTCTGCACATGCTCAGCAGCAGCCAATTTTGTTCCACGTGAACCCTCCAGTTGTTTTTGAAGATTGCCCTCAGAGTCGTTCATCCAAGGCAACATGGCAAAGGTCGATGCTCGAGTGGACCAGCTTTGCAAGTGTTTGATGACACTGTCCTGCGGAACCTATGCTGACAATGCTCCTGAGCGGGTGAAGCTAATTGAACTTGGCTCGTTTTGCTGGGCAAAAGTTCTGCACAGAAAGATCAGAAAGGAAGACGTGAGGTGACTGAAGCCACTAGTAGCGAGGGCCTCCAACCTAATCACGAAAGCTAGCACCAGCTAGCTGGAGTTGTTCTTGCTTTAGCAAGTGAGGGGCTGGAATCCTCGAGAGTGCCGCATCGCGTGAAAACTTCATATGTAGGGGGCGGGGTTCAACTGCTCCCTGAGACATCTCTGGGACGTGTGTATTTCCGCCGGCATAGTGGGCCGACTGTCACCCGCTTCCCGCCCTAGCTTTCGTCACCAACCTTCGGCCTCTAACTTGCGAAGAGAAAATGATCCAAACCATTCTAAACCTCTGGGTATCTCTGGGTATCTTGGACCTGCCGTTGATCGACCTGAGGTTTGCTTGGACAAGTTCCTGACTCACCATGACATGAAGCATTCTGAGGTTGAGGACGACAACCAACTTACTGGACATGGAAGACGAATGAGAGCAAGTCAGCAAGTCGTTGGTTTGCTTCAACATTCTAGGTTCTGGTAGGTATGCTGATTTAAAAATGCAGCCAAGAGCTGTCCTGCGTCCTACCTAGAAGCGTCCTACTTAATGTAATAGCTACATATAGCTACTATAGCTATAACTCTTCCTCACCAACAAGACTGAAAACAAAAGAAGTGAATTCCTTGTGCCTCCAGTGGATGTACTTTTTGCAAACATGAAGAATTCCCTGTCCATCTTCAGGAGTTCCGATGGCGCGGCCATGGCTGCCCGGGCGATTGTCCCTACGTCCGAACCAGTGATGGCCGTGCTTGGGCAGAACCGTATTGAGAGTCTGAGTGATGCACGTTCAAATATGTTCAACATGTTTCAAACATAATCCCCAAATCAAAATGACGGGAGATGTGGGCGGTTGACTTGTTTCAGAGATTTAGGATTTATATATTGACTTGCTCTTCGAACAAGAGTACTCCCGGAAGTGCCTCAGCTAGCCACCAGAATAGCCAAAACAACCTGTGCTTTAGTCCCCAGTTTTGGAGGCACGTTTTTCGCCACATCAGCTACACACCCTTGTACGCCAATGAGGTGAAGCTGCCTATGATTATGTCGACTTTTGGTTCGAGAACGGCAAGGAATCAGGCCCGTTGACATATCAGCCGGGGTCTTAGTCCAAGCACAAACACAAGCACAAGCACTAATGAATGAGGCTTGAAAGTAGCCAAGGCCCTAGTAACATTCTTGCTCCTAATAGCGATGCCCTTTGCTCCTAGTAGTACGGCCAGGAGCCCCGATCGTAGCGTCCGATCGCTCCTAGTAGCCAAGGGTTCATGAAACGCAGGTGCTGGGTCGAAAGATTCCAGACAAGGCCTGAAGGATTGTGATTCATTTGTTTAACCCCCTTGGCCGGCTGGTATCTTTGGCTGGTTGGGGCGCGTTGTTGATCAAAACCCTTCGTTTGTTAAAAAACGAGCTGCCCTGGAATCAAGCCTGTCCCTTTTTTTTCCCGGTTGGTGGCTCTCCTGACGGGCGGCAGGCTGGGGTCTAGTTGTTTCCCAAAGGATTCGAGACGCTCTTCAAATTTGATGGCTCCAAAGCCGGCACAACAACTGTCATTGCTCGTTAGCTGTCATCTAGATTGGCAACAACTAGATGAGAGGACCAGAGTGCAAAGCAGAAATGCAACATGTGTACGTAGAAAGCTTAAGAATGCTTTTGATGGAACCTTCGGAACTGTGACTGTTGGACACACATTTACTATCCTGCAATCCTTGATTGTAACATATTGTAACTGTCGTACGCCTGGATCTTGCCTAGTTTGTCAGCGTTCCACCAGCTTTGCCGCCATGCATAAGATTGGTCACGGTGGTACTCACTTGACCAGTTGGGCACAAGAGCTTCACAATGTCACCTTGGAGACTTGGAGTAGAATGGTAATGAATATGATTTTCAGTTTTGCTGTTCAGTTGTTTTGTTCTTTTTGAAGTGGTTGAACAACTGACACAAGAAGTTTGAATTGCTTTATGATCACATGAAGTTCTCCTGACCTAGACTTGGCCCTCTAGACTCATGCAATTGTTCTACACCTCAACTCTTTGTCGTGAGAATAGCATGTTCAGCCCCGTGTCGTGGGGGTGACACGTCTGAGCATGCAGAATCTGTGGACCTATCCGGTCTCAGGATGGACAGGTGGACAGTCTTAGCTTTTCACCAGACCACACTTGCTTGGCAGCAGCTGGAGGCTTTGCCTAACAAGCTTCAAATGTTTGCTCATCCTAGAGTAGACGAGTTGTCCTGTTGCTGGGGGTTGTCAGGAAATAGGTTCACACTGCCTATCCGAATATCCAGGATAGGTTCTGACATGTCACATCAAATCCTAACCTGCTACACAGCAAATTACAGAATGAGTTTATAAATTAGCAGTTTGAGTAAAGAACAACTAAAGTCAAAGTCACTAAAGTCACATACGTATAACAGATATAATTGAATGACCCCTTCCCACTATGAACACGAGGGTTGTTGAGAGGTGTGCTACCCTGGACTTACTACCCCTTACTACTGACGCTGCTGACTTCAATTGAGAAGCGGTTTGTGTTCAAAGCTCCTCCAACACCCTTCAGGCGGCTCCATCTACTTCTTCTCATCGCAGTTGGAGCAGCAAAAGGTCATCCCGGACGCACATGGCGGAGCGCCCGTGCGGTGCGTGGCCTTTGCCGGACGACAACTGCTGAGCGCAGGCGCTGATGGCAAAGTTCTTGTTTGGGAAATGAGTGGAGTTACTTGGCAGGAAGAATTGGATCTCTAACTTTTGCTTGATTCAATTTTTGAGACAGGGGGGGAGCAATGCGAGTCAAAAGAAGCCCTCAAATGGCCCAAGCACTGACTGAGTGGACAACATGGCATGGACGTTGTTTGTCTTACAATTTTTGTAGCTTGATGCCACGATGTCCTGCCACTCTGCCATCCAAAGAGCACGTCTTCCGCGTTCACTGAGGAACAGACAGCGGTCTTGGAACATGACGTAGATGTTCTGGCAGTTGCCGGAACCGCCAATGGTCTGATCGCAAGCTCAGCAGCCGATGGCGCTGTGCGACTCTGGCGAAACGGTGCAGTGGAGCAAACACTTCTTGGACACGAAGCTCCTGTGTCTTGGAGCTTCACGGCTGGGCGTGGGAACCCGCTTATGGCGCCCTTTTCGGGTCCATATTTGGTAGGACTTTTCAAGAGGATGTGACGTGGCGAACTCTTTTTGTTGGGCCGCTCCCCCCGTGGGAATCGATTCACCTGTAGTAACAATAAGGCTTTCTAGTAACTAGAAGCTTCCTTGGGAATCGTTTCCCGGTTGTGAAGCCCGGTTGTGGTTGCCCACGTGGGCGAAGAGTCAGCAATTTCATTGATTCTTGCATAGATGGAATGTTTGATAACCATGAAGAGCCACAACTCAACAATGTATATAGCAAAGTTTTGCGTAGGGTTTTGGATTGTTTGGTGTGGAGACTGGCAGGCTTTCCTTCCGTTTGCCAGACTTCATTCTAGAATCAGCTCATGTTAATTGATTTGTCTCTTCTGAAGATTGAGAAGTCACCAGTGCATAGTGATTTCAACTTGATGATCTGAACTTCAAGTCATGGAACCACCAGTTTCGACGGACTTCCACTGACTTCTTCGTCTCTAACCACCTGTGTCTCTTAGTAATGGCATCCAACCTAAGAGCGATGGCCTTTGCTCCTAGTAGCTTCTTGTTCCTAGTAGCGATGCCAGGAGCCTAGTAGCGAAGCCTCCGATCGCTCCGTTCGGTTCGCTTCTGCGTCTCCAGGTCCACGCCGTGAGCTTCTCTCGGGACGCTTCGATGCTCGTCTCCGCCTCGGCGGATCACACCGCACGCGTCTGGGCCACGGAACGCGGCGCTCCGCTGGCGCTGCTGCGAGGCCATCGGGACGAGGTGCGCGCAGCGTGCTTCGGTGCCCGGCGCTCGGTGGCTTGGGTGAAGGCTGTGTGAAGGGAGGTGTTGGAACGGAGTGGTGGAGGGACTCAACTTGGAGATTGAGATTGGGGAAAAAGATGTGTTGGACATAATGAAGCAAGGGGTCCAAGTTTTGATGCCTAAATCAAGTCACATGCCAACAAAGCAAAGTTGATTCTGGTCAGTTACACAAGACCTTGAAGATCCTTGCAAAGTTTGAAGGAGTCGAGTGTGCTCAGCAGAAACGCGCTGAAGAAGTCTTTACATTCACGACCCATGCAGCACATGCAGAACGAATCAGTGGTATCGGCTTTAGCTTTGCAACATCTCAGGCATCTTTGGTAGTCACCGGATCCTTGGATGGTACAGCTTTGATTTGGCAGCTGCCATCGCCCGGGGATGCTCTTGAAGTAACTCCCCTCCACGTCCCTTGGCAGAGATCAACGCTGTTCAAACAATGGGTCCAAACTGGGGGACCTTGGTTGACCACCCAAAATGAACAGTAGATGACTACCGGACATAGTCAACCTACCCTCGTGACCGGGGGGCTTTGGGTGCTATGACCTACAGCCAGATCTGTCGCCAGCCCAGAAACTCGGTATGCCGACCACCGCAGCGTTGAGGCCTTTTTTTGTTCTTCCACGTGAAAAGCTATGAAAAGCTGGAACTCCCACAGTGTGCAACCATGCGGCCGTACGGTATATGATATGTCATTTCCGGATGATCGCATGTTCTTCATTCTTCCACGTGCTACGCAACGCCTCCCTGACTTCTCCAGGCTTGCAAGGCCCACGCTGCTGGGATCACCAGCCTGGCCATTGGAGAGAATGGCCAGACACTTTGCACTGCCTCCATGGACAAGTCGGTGAAGTGCCTGGCTGGAACACAGATGCCGTGTGTGAAGTTAGTTCTAAGGGATTTCAGGTGGAGTTTAGATCGATGGGTATTTTCACAGTTTTCCCAGATTCAGGGCCTGCGGGCCTTGTAAGAAGGTGGGAACGATTGTACCAGAATGGAACCACCAAGCCCAAGTTGAAGGAATTCCCAGCTGCAATCATTTGTCACAGGGGCACCAAAAGGGATGGAAAACGCGTCCACCATAAACGTGAAACCGACCGAGGTCGGAACATGGGATCTGGATTTGGGTGGTAACACCAGGACCAAGCATCACCACTTCCCACTCAAAAACCTTCCACCTTTTCAGCCTCAAGAAGCTACTAGAAACAAGTGCATCGCTTCTAGTAACAAGTGCCTTACTAGTAGTAACAAAAGCTATTAATTTAGTTTAAATTTAATTCTAATAGCTTCTTTGTTACTAGTAGTAAGGCACCTGTTACTACTAGCGTGGCACCTGTTACTACGAGGCTTTGGACCATGCACGACTTCCGCTTCGCGCGGACGCTGCCCGGCGGTGCGGCCGTCCACGCGGTGGTCATCTCGTCGGCGGGCGCTGCGCGGGTCGCCGCGGCGTGCGGCGGTCGTGGTGGGCGTGGCACATTGCGGGTCTTTGGGATTGTCCCACGTAGACGAGAGAGTGGAATGTTCACCTAAGAGGTGAAGGGAATGGAGTGAAGTGGGGACGGCAACAGTTGAAGTTGGTGGCTTCAACTTCAAGATGAGCTTCATGAGTAATCTAGAAGCATTTTCCTGAGCACTCCACATTGTGGAGTCAGGCAAGAGGGGACCTAGTGCTCTTTAGCTACCTCCAGTTTTTGGCAGATGAAGATGCTAAAGACCACATCAGAAGCTGGATGAGCCAGCCATGGTTTATTATTACCCTGGATGGGAAAAGCTGACGCTTTGGGAGCTTAAGAAGTTCCGTCACCTGCTGAGTTGCTGCTGGGTGCTTTGCGAATCTCCCAGCTGAGTACGGTGCTTCGCTTCGGTTGAACCCTGCTGACGCTCCCAAAAGGCGGCGACACTCGAGCGACGCTCATCCGCCGCGTCAGACAAAAAGAGGTCCGAAATGTGCATCAGCCAGTCTGTGCAAGTCGTAAATGTGGTGGCACACTACGGCAGAAAGATGCAGAAAAAAGCAGAGCATGTTGAACAAAGCAACCGTTACACGTCCGGTCGATGCGGACTCTATATATGTTTGCATCAAAACGTGTGTTACTGTTGAGGTGGCGCTGCAAGATGTGCTCGGACTTCATCGGTTGGCTCCTGAGAAATGGGTTGGGCCACTTGCTTTGGGGATGCTCGTTTGACTTCCTGAACAAACCATGCCATCCCCTCGGTTCTCACATGCAGGTTTACATGATGCCTTGGGGTGGGCAATGGCAGATGCCAACACCAGCCATTTTGCTACACATGTCCTTCAACATCGCAAGCCCTCTCCGAAATTGTGCTTCTGCACTGGTTTGTTCAACAGTCTCAGGCTGGTTACTTCTCAATGTGAGGATTGGTCAGTTTGTGTTTCCCCCCCAAAACACCGGCATTACCGGTCCAAAGCCCCCACACCAACGGGACACCGTTGGTTCGGTCGAGGTTACCAGGCGGACGTGGTGGTCATGGATTGTTGGCCGAAGGGCGCCCCGGAGCGGCGGAAGGAGATCACCGACGCGCGGAAGCACGAATGGGACGGCTGGGTCGCTTGGCATCCACGGGATGTCGGTGGATGGTGTGGGGGGGGGTTCATCCAGCTAGTTGACAAAGCATAATTAAGCGGGAGACCTTCCTTTGAGCATAATTAAACCTCGAAGCCTTTGTTTTTGTTTGTTTAGGGCCAGGGTGCGCATATTGGAACTGCAAGACAGGAAAAGCACAAGCACTGTATCTAGAGTGAACTTCTTGCTTGGTCGTTCCAAAGGTCTGATCAAATTTCCCTGAACCCAATCACACAGAATCTCAAGGCGATTTCTTTGCTCACGTTTCAGCGCCGAGCGCAGACAGTTGCTACCTTGCGTGCTGTCGCAACAAGGTACTTGTCATCGCCCGCAGCGAGCGTGGCCAAGCAGTGGTGGACTCTGCTAAGGTGGGATGCAACAGTCCAGACATGTCCAGACGCAAGAACGTCCAGTATCCCGAGTGCAGCGAAGACGCGTCGTGCTCGTTTTTGTTTGGCATGTAGTCATGTAAAATACATGATTTTTCAGAGTCATAAAGCACTCCTGGTTTAGTGGCAGCATCGGAACAAATGGAAGAATCGCTTGTAGTTCTATCAGGTGTGGAACATGACAGAGATCAGAACCAATCATTCTAAATAACAGAGGCAGCGTCAGAACTGCGTTGCAAGAACTGCTTGATCCAGGACGCCGGTGTTTTGACTCTGGGTCCAGCAGAGGGTCGCGAAGTGCTAGAGACTCAGCCACTTGGCTGCCAGGTCTTCCGCATGTTTGATGTTCGTTGCCAATGAGCTTTCAGCACAGAGAAAATAGATAAGTAGAACTTCTACCGCTATGGTGTGGCCAGGGAGCCCGCTTGAACCTGTCAACTTCCATGACAGTGGTCACTAGTCCGTGCTGTTGACTCGTTTTATGGCAGTTTCTAATTGTCAATTCTTTGCTATGGAAGTATCCTGCAGGACCTCTCAGGTGTGTATTGCGTTTATGATGACATGATGACTCTCTACTGTTTGATCCTCAACTCCACGGTCGGAATCCAACCCTGAACTTCACGACCGGTGCTGAAACAGTGTTGCTGTTTCGAGAGCATGGGCACCCACCCTTGTCAAGTTACAAGTCTTGCTCAAGCATATTCATATTCCCTCCATGGTTCGGGTAGTGTCAGCAGCGGGCCCTGTAGACGGACAAATAGACGGAAATAGCCCAAAGAAGCTCAGAAGAAAACACAAATTAATCCATACTTAGTGCATAGCCGCTGACACGACTTTTTGCCGTCTTGCACTGAAGTTGGTGCTTCCAGCCATGCGACCTTCATCGCCTATGGCATGTAGCCACCACCCCGGGTGGGAGGTGGGAGAAACCAAAAGGGGGCCTCTGGGGCCAAGAGCTACAGCGCAGCGTGATGCGACAAGCTCAAAGTATCGGTTGTAAAAACCTCCAACTTAGTGCATAGCCGCTGACACGACTTTTTGCCGTCTTGCACTGAAGTTGGTGCTTCCAGCCATGCGACCTTCATCGCCTATGGCATGTAGCCACCACCCCACTCCACTGCTCCGGCTGCGTGCCAGCCCTGTCACCATCTAGGTGTAGTGCACGTGCTGGTCCACGTTGGCCATCTTCCGAGCCAGTCCTGACAGGACATCGCCCGAATCGTGGAGGTAGCGCTGCACCGCTGATGAGGTCCATCTTCCTGTTCTCTTCACGACCTCGATCTCGCCCGTCGCCTGATAGAGCGCTGAAGCCCCACCGATCCGGAGCGAATGGGACTGGAACCGCTCCGCCGGCAAGCCGAGGGCTCGAGCGGCCCGCTGCAGCAGGTTCTGCACCTCCAGGCGCTTGATGACCGGGCCTGATGCCCATCGGAACAACGGCAAGTGGCTCTCCGGCCCTCGCCCGAACCGCCTTGGCGCCACCTCTCGAAGACGATGTAGAGCCGTGACCGCGCAAACGAACTCAACCTCCGTCTTCAACATCGTCTTGCACGTCCCGAAGGCCTCCTGGTCCGCTTTCGTTTTGCGGAATTGTAGCGTCACCTCCTGAGGGTCGCTCTCATCTGCTTGGCCTCGAGTCGTGAGGGAGACATCCTGGCCTCTGACGATCATCTCCTGGTCAACTCCACTCGAATCCGAGAACTCTCTGGCGCGGAGCATAAAGAACCAGGCCGTGACCACTGCCGCGTTGACCATCCTGCAGTCCACCTTCAGCTCGCCCATCGCTTCCGCACCCGCGGCCATCTGCTTACCCAGCCACTTGATCATCTGCACGGTGACACCTAGCCGTCGCGGCCTCTTCACCGAATTCTTCTCCAGCGAGTTGAGGACGATCCACAGCCGATGCATCTTCACTGTCGTGTCTCCGTGGCCGGCTCTTTTATGTGCGTCTTTGATGGCGAAGACTGCTTGCTTCATAGTGGCCACCGAAGTTCCCAGCCAACCAAGGTAGCCCAGGTAGCCGAGGACCTTATTCTCGTTGTGGATCGGGTCGCCGTTGTGGTCGAGGTAGGGGGTCAGCCACCCTTGGCGACGGCTCCAGTCACACCACTTGCTCCATGCAGTGGCATAGGCCTTCTGCGTGCTCGCGGCCTTGTCGCCTACCAGGTGCGCTTCGAGCCATTCCTCCACCTGCGCCTGGACCTCCATGTCGGGGTTGAAGTCGGGGTTGAGGTCGATGAACTTGGCCCCAGTTTCCTCAACCGGTTTCACCTCCTTCTTCCGACGACCTCCGCATCTTCTATCTTCGCTGCCCCCGAACCCATTGTCACAAACATCGATGGCCTCGAGCCACAGCGCCTCGCCCCAGAACCACACCTGCTGGGTGCCTTCCTTCCCGCCACCGGCTTTGCGGTCTGGTAGGGCTCGTCCGAAGTCCCCACGCCGCCACTTTCTCAGCCACTGTAACAAAATGCCCAGGGACTTGTAATCCTCGAAGTCGGCGCACATTCCCGCCTTGCCTTCCTTGCTCTCTTTGGCGAGCTCCGCGGCAGTGCTGATCAGGCTCAAAGCCGTCCGGCGACCCGTCGCCCTGCAACCCTCCTTCTCGGCCTCCTTCTCCCCGACCTTCTTCACCAGGTCGTTCCATTCATCTAAGCGTCTGCCCTGTAGGACCCAAATCTCCTCACCGGCAAGACTTCTCACCTTGCCCACCGGGGCTGCTTTATCCTGCACCAGGATCCGCTGCATGCCCTTCTCGGTCTGGTCAACAAGGGGCCACCGGCATGGTCCACTGAGTGAATAGACATTTTGTCTGTCTTCCTCCTTTCCAACCCATGCATGAGCAGCGACGACCGGCAACATGACTTCTTGGCCAACGTTGACCGCCGTCTCATACTTCCGAACCGGGATGCAGTTGCCTTCGTGGAACTTCTTCAAATAGGAACCCATCGCCGGCGGGGTGACAGACTTCACCATCAGGAACTCGACGTCTTCCTTCGACCGCTCGATGGGGATTACAAAGCCGACGGTCCGTCGTCTCACCATGGCCTCCCCAAGCTCCGAGGTCAGAAACTCCTGGAGCGTGCAGCTCCACCCGACACTTCTTGCCCAATGCTCCAAGCCCGTCCATTTCACCTCCATCGGGCCCTCCAACACCGCGACATCGAAGACCTCACTGTCGAGATAGGCGGCAAACTCCTTCACTTTCCTTCCCTTGGGGTCGGGACCGATGGTAGCAGCTATCACCCGGTAGCTAGGGTCTTGTCCACCGCCCGAAAAGTACTCAAAGTCCTTAACGAAGCGCTGGCCCGGGGTCCACTCGATCACCTCTACCTCCTTCAACTCTGCAGGTTGCCGTAGGACCGCTCTGAAAACTCGTAGTTCCCGCAGCCGCATCAACTCAAACCTGTCTTCCTGATCTGCCCAGGAGAGGAAACACAACCCAAAGCGTTCCGTGTCCTCGAGTGCGTGATGGATGCTCTCTTTGATGTCCACCCTCTCCCAGCCCTTCCTCTCCATGAGCTCGGTGGCCTCCTTCTCCTCCAAGCGGGTCAGCGCGTCTGCATCCTCGTTGTGGAAGGTCCTCCACCAGCCCCCTAGGATGCGGCACCGGTGGCGCTTCTCTACCAAGTTCAGCGCCCGGATCAGCAGCCTTCCCGCACGGACCCCGCTCTTACGCCCGGTGATCCAGAAATAGACCACCTTGTTGTCCCCGGCATACACCACCACGCGGCCTTCCCACAGGTGTCCCACCTTACAGGCGAAGGCCACGAAGCTCAACATCTCCCCGAGGTGAATGGCGAGCTTGCCGTCCTCGTGCCCCTCAGCCTCAGTGACCTGCTTGATCCACGGCTTCAAGAGCTCAACCTCCTCTCGGCACGCAAGCCGGTTGGTCCAATCGATGGCCGCGACAACAGTTGGAGTAGCATCAGAGGAAACGAAGACCGGACCGCCTCCTTGTTGTCCTGGTAGTGCCAGCCGCTCCAACGGGGGTAGCAGCTCTCTGATGTCTCCGCCAAACTTCGTGGCCCAGGTCTCGGATCTCGCACACAACCATCGGCAGTCTTCGAACAGCTCCCATAGTGCTTCCCAGCTCTGCGCCCTGGCCCGGGAACCCTCTTGCTGGACCAGCTTCGGCTGCACCGCCGCACCACCATCGATGCCTCCCAGGAACACGTCAGCGCTGCGAAGCTCATTCTTGAGACCAGAGACCACGATGCTCCAACCATTGGCAATCCCTCGAAACCTCTGCAACTCCTTGAGCGGGAGGTCCTTCTCCCCATAATTGAAGCACGACTGAGCGAGCAGGTAGGCCCCCTTGAGGATGCGCGCTTCTGGCAAGGACATCCTCTCAGCATCCGCATCGATGATCAAACCCCACACCGTTTGCTGATTACTGTAGCAGCCCTCCTCAGCGTCCTTGAGCTTGTTGATGGCCTTCTCACCCAGCAGCTTCGTGACCGCCCATTCATAGACCTCACTGGAGACCCATGGCCGTAAACCCATCACCGGTTCCACCAAGACCATGTCATCAACCAGGATTTTCCCGCAAAAGTGCAGCTCGCCATCTCTCCGGCTCTCCACAGGGCGAAGGCTTCGATGGACCTCTTCCGTAGCCCGTCCCCATGCTGTCCATTCTCCCGGCAATCCCGAGAACCCAAAGCTGGACACCAAGTAGATCACCGTGAGGTCCCCCAGACCGTTGAGCCCTGCCTCGAGTTCTCCTGATCCCATCAGCTCTGGCTTCCATGGGACGTCACCTGCGAACAGCTCCACATCTCGTGGGTCGACCCACAGCAGTCGAAAAGCCCCGGCTACATCCTTCTTGGCCAGGACCACCTTGATGCCCGGGTACCTTGCCTTCAACCATAGAATGCGCCTCGCAATCTGCTCATGAGTCGGCTGTGATGCCGGGGGGGTGAAGATCCTTGTGGGTTCCCCCGTTGACTTGGCGCTGATCATGCACCAAGCGAGCTTCAGTTGACAGGGATCGATTGGGCAACATCTTGGGCACCAGCTCGAAGGGTGACGACACCGTGTGCTTCAGGGCCGCATGGCTTGCAGAGGCGACCAGGACTCGATGCTTGGCGATGTCCTTCATCAGCTGCACGTAGACCTGACCCATATCTGCCCTTGCCCGCGGGTGTGGCCGGGTTGTGACCCTTTCTCGTTGCCCTTGATACCGTGCCGGCATTCCTTGGGCCCGAACCTCCCTGAGGTAGGCTAGATGGTCCGGGTGCAGCAGCTCCGTCAACTCCTCATCGTCCGCTCCTTGGAGATTGTTGCGCCCAAGGTGCTCCCTGGCCACCCACAATGCCGTCGCGGCTCTCTCCACCGAACCGGTGACGTCGAGTAGCAGGTCCCCTCTTTCCCGGACTGCTTGCCACTCCTGCGCTGTGTTGCCCTGAATCTGGTCAACTGCATGAATGTAACCAAGGGCCGCCGTCGCCGCCTTCCCGGAGATGCCGGCCTTCTCGAAGTCCACCCAACTGCTCCCTCCGGCCCTCGTGCCCCTCCAAGACCACGACTGCCACCCTTGCCATCTTCCTCGGTCCCCTCTATAGACTCTGCCAGTCAGCAGTGCCATGGGAGTTCCAGCTTTCGGACCAATCACCTTGCCCACTCCTGGTTCGGGGCCTCCACCTCCAGCATCCGGACCGTTCTCACTGCTGATAGGAACCTCCACCCACGGTACCTGCCCGTCCTCAAACACAAAGAGGGTAGCTCCGGTCCAGGGTGCAAAGGGCGGTTGACCTCTGCCTCGGTCTCTCCAATCATCGTACACCTCAGCGACCTGCAGACGGCCCCACTCATCCCTCCTCTCACACCTCGTGTATCTTTCACTGTGAAAGCGATGCGGCCAATAGGGGTACGGCAACTCCTCCGGGACCACCAAGTCATTCCGTGGCTCATTCGTGTGCACCCAGACATAGCCCCTCTCCGCATCAACCTCCATACGGTTCCGAAGCCCCAGATTCTGCCACACGATGCGTGTCCGCGGTTCCTCATCCGTCTCTGGTCCCGCCTCCGTGGTGTTCTCCCCTTGGAAGTCGTCCTGATCCTCCAGATCATCTTCCAGGTCGTCCTCCCCAGGCTCCTCACCCTGCGGGTTCAAGACGTCAACGCCATTCCACACCCCAATCGCCTCATCAACTGCCATCCCTGCGACTTGTTGGAGCTCATCCTCGTTCAGCAGGTCCAGATCAAGTTCGTTGCCAAGGTCGTTGCCACCCGCATGGTCGCCCTCCTCGGCTGCCTCGTGGCCACCCGCATGGTCACCCTCCTCGGCTGCTGGCTCCTCCTCATACCCGAACTCGTGCACATTCCAGCCATATGGGTGACGCCCCCCCGTTTTAGATAGAGGGGGCTGTGGCTTGGACCCCCCCCCCCACCAGGGTATGGAGCAATGTTTCCACCACCGTGCGAACAAAGGCATCGGCGTAGACCCCTGCTTCCGTGCATCGCGACACTTGAACCCCCGGCCGGTTGCCTTTGAGTGCGATATGCTGATGTGTAGCTGACACTCCTGGGCACAAACGGAGCAAGGCTTGACGCAGCGGTGGATGATGAGGGAAAGCCAACCCGGTGCGGTGGCGATAGAACTGGCCCACCGTATCTGGAGGTCCCAAGCCGAAGGCGCACATGTCACGATGAAGTCGACGTCTGGTCTTTGCAACAGGCGTCGCCACTGCGGCAGGTGCCATTGCTTTGGGTACCGTCCCGAAGTCCCGGAGCTCTCTGCAATGGGAAATCCCCCTTGCACCAGCGAGGTCTCGAAGACCTTGGCCCCATATTCTGACAACGTGTTGCCCAGCTTCTCCTTGGCAGTGGGTAATCCCGCTGGGTTCTGAAAGGTGCGAGTTCCTCCATTCTGCAGGCACCAATCACAAAACGTGGTACATGGACTAGCGATCCATTGCACATTGGACTCCCGTGCTCGTAAGCGGCCCAGAAAGTGTTCCTGCCGTAGCGGGTCAGCCAAATCGTGCTCAGGGCGTGGTCCAAGCTGTTGGTGCGGCTGCGCATACAACTCAATGGGCTCCAGGGCTGTCTGATTGGCAGCCCGCCATCCCATGGTGATGACCCCATGGCCCGCAAAATACTCCTGGAGAACGAGGCCCTGCTGACCTCGAGCTTCATGGATGGGTCGGACGGCTTGGCCGCCGCCGGCAAAGACCTGCGAAAGAGCGGGTAGGCACGTAGTCTTCCGCAGACAGCCCATCGATACCGGTTCGTCCCTGCCTCCTCCTTTGCGAGTTCTGCAGTGCCGGCATGAGATGATTCCCGGGGCTGTCTTGGCTTGATCGTGCCGTTGATGCCAGAAATATCGAAAGCCCAAGCAAGGGGTGTTGTACACCTCTTCCTTTCCCAACAGAGTCCTGCCTGCCTCTTGCGACGGTGGCTGGAGGAGCGTCATGTGGCCCTTTGAAATCATCACCCAGATGTCCAACTTGGTCCACTGGCTGCCCGTGACCGTCTCGATCAAGAGGTCCCCCTTATAGTCGACCCGCACCACGATGACCCGCATCTCTTCCAGTGCTGCCAGAGTGTAGTCCTTATCGTGGTGTGGTTTCAGGATGTCATGGGCATACATCCGCAACTCGTGCTCGACGGGTGCCACCTTGGACTCCGGGTGCCCCATGACCCCTTCAGCTTCCACAGCTAATCTGGCTTGTTCCAGCCGGAATTCCTGCGTTCCTCTCTCCACCTCCTCCATGGTCGGGACCCTTCCTTGCTGTGCGAAGTGCAAGCCTGCCGCTAGAACTTTAGTAACACACTGCCGTTTCTCCTTTTCCGGCTCGATCACCCCCAGCAGGCCCGCAAGTTCCTCAGTCATGTAGACCATCTCGCCGAAATCCCACAACGCCCAGGGCTCCCCATCGATGTGGACCAAAGCTCTCCCTGGGCCTTCATCCTCCCACCGAGTGTCTCCCAGCTGGCATCGTGCCTGGTGACCCGCCTTCAGGCCCTGACCATGGGCTTCCAGCAAGGAAGCGGCCTCTGCTGCCAGCTCTCCCAATCCATACTGGACCATCTCCTCCAAAAGGGCCTCGAAAGAGATTGCGGGATCATTGGCCACCCTGGTGGATGCCCAGGCGTACAGGTCGTCAGACGCCTCTTGCAGTTTGCCCAACACGGGACCCGTGGCCAGAGCTTGAGCTTTCCTCACCATATCCTGTGCTTCCGCAGGGGCTGAGATCCCATGTCTTCCCGCATGCGGGCGGGCGTCCCTCGGGACGTGGTCGAAGATCGCATCGTCTGGCCCGGTCACCAAGTCTGCGAAGTCCTTTTCCTGGTGGGTGTAGTCGACCTGGACCATCTCCTCCGGTGCCTCCCAGTGCACTCGCCCTCCTGCCTTTTCAGGGCCTTCTGGATCTCCATCCTTGCCTCCTTCGCCCTGTCCAGCCCTTCGGCGATCTTTGCCGTCCTGCACCTTCGCGGCTTTATCCTTTGCCACTCCAGCCCGGATCTCCTTGATCTTCTCAGCCGCGGTCTCCTTCGTCTCTGCCTTCATCCTCTTCAAGCCTCCCCTCCGAAGCATCTGAAGTTGCACCGCCGGATCGAGAGCTTCAAAAGGTCCCCGAAGTGGTTCATGTGCTCTTTGGCAGCCCTGTTGAGAACAGCCCAAGTGGGTCAAGTAGCCCCAACACAACAGTTTGCCATCCTTGTTCGTGGGTGCCCGGTCCTTGGCCTTGGCGGTCTCCTCTGCCGTGAGCTTTGGGCCAAACAAAGTCTTCAAAGTCAGCTTCTCCTCACGAGGTCCTCCGTCTCCTCCTGCTGATTGGCCTTGGGCTCTGCTTTTCCCTGCTCCTTCCCATGTCATCTTCCAGAGCATCCTCTCTTGGCGTCTCTCGATCCTAGGCATCACCTCAGACATGAACCATCCTTCTGGCCGTCTCAGATCGAAGGTCTGCGGGAGGTTCAAAGGAGGGCGCCCCTCCTCGTCTGGCATGAGGGCATAAAACTTCAAATCCTGCAACGTCATGGATTCTCGACCCGAAAGCCGCTTGATCTTCCTCAGCTCCTCCTTCAGTTCTTCGAGGAATCTCCAATGCAGCTCCTCCCATACATTGCCATACATCCAGCAGCACCTGTAGTGGCCACTTGTGAGGAGCACTGACATGCCACTCTCCCAACAGGTTGATGGCGTGCTCCCGAACCGCCTTCCATTCCAGGCCGTACACGAGTGCCCAGATGTCGTTCTGGCGTTTCACTCGGTTGAGCCAGTCCTCATAGCGGGTAGGAGCTGTTGGCCTCTGCTCATTGACGGGCTTGCCGGTCCTGCTCTCCATGGCGAACTGGTCCAACTCGGCGTCCGTGCAGGGGACGAAGTCGGAGGCGCTCAAAGCGTACTTCTCCTGCGTGCCCCAGTAGGGTCCTGCGATCCCAATGGCCAGCCTGGAGGTGATTTTTTGGCGGAATCCAGCACTTCGCAACTTCGTCGACGAGCCGGCCTGGGCCGCCAGGAGCGCTTGAGCGAGTGGTGCTCCGTACTCACCATCACCGACTTGTACGGTGTACTCACCGCATGCACGCAGCAAAAATACCAGTTCTTCAGAAGTTTTGCCCAAACCTTTCAAAGAGCCGCCCATCCCTGTAGTGGTCTCTTGCTGAGCTTTGACCAACGTGGCCAACTCATTGGTTTGCTGCTGGATCGCTTTCGCGATGTCGGTCATCTCAGAGTGGCTGCCTTGCCCGTCCGGCCCCGTCCCGGCCTTCCGGTCTGGGTCATAGATTCCCGGTGGGGGTATGGTGGCCAGCTTCCGTCTAGGAGGTGTCTCATTCTGTCCCGGGCTCAGGACAGTCTTCGCTCCCGATGCCGAACTGGATGGTGTGGGTGCCGAACTGTCTCGCTCCTTGTCAACCAAGCTTCATCCTGACAAAGAGGAAGGCTGGTCCTGAGCTGCTGCCTGTTGACGCCACTTGGCCAGGAACTTCGTCAGCCCTTTTGTTCCCTTCCTCTGTTCCTCTGTGGCCTGCTCATACAGGTGCCTGGTGAGATCGCCCACAGTCATCCCGGCTTGCGCGGCCAACTGCTTCCGGATGTCCTCTTCGCTGAGCTGCAACTCTCTCCCATCTGCCATCTGCTCCATGAACTCCTCCAAGTAGGTCATGTCGCCACGTCGATCCGGGGAGTTAATCATTCCCATCCGGGCCAAACTGTGTTGAACTGAGGACTTTGGAGTGTGACCTGGGGATGAGACCCTCCTTCTACGAAGCGCCGGAGTTTCCTCCTCCTTCTCCTCTCTCACCCCCCGAAGGAATGACTCAGCCTCATCTTCCTGGTATGAGACCTCCCGACCTCTTCCACGGCGTCTCGCCCGATCATCACCTTCTCCATCTCCACGTTCATCTCCTTCGCCTTCTCCCGGAGGTGGTTCCCTTGCCCTAGACCTTGACCGTGATGAACGCCTTGACGATGTAGAAGCCTGTTCTTGGTGGACCCCGCACAGGCGTAAACCCTGTTTCGTCACCATTCCCAGTTTCTGGCATCCCCCATAGGAACACTTCATAGCCATTCTGGAGGTCAGGTAGCGGACGCCGTGAGCAGGGCAGAGGGTGCTTGGCTGGTCAACAGGAAGGTTCTCGCGATCCTCCTCCAACATCTCAACCTCCGTGGCACCGGGGTTCTTGCAAGGGTGGTCGCTGAGGCAGGTCTTGCCCATCTCACCTTCCCACTTCACCCAGTGAGCGCTGCACCCGCCTGCCTCTTCCTTCTCCGATTCGGACGCATAGTCCTGCAGCCGCTTGGCCGTTTTGTTGGCCTTGGAAAAGAGCCATCCCAGCGTCTTCATTCCCGTCTTCTGGGCCCCCGCCGCTGATGACAGGAGATGGAAGCGTTCGGGGTTGAGCTGCCGAGCCAAGGCGTAGCTCTTGAAGTGCTGACCCTCCTCCGGACACGTATCGTGCCTACATAGGTGCACTTTGTCGTAGCCCTTCAGGGCAAGCAAGAGCTGGGCATCTCCTCGAGTCGCCTCAGGGTCGAAGTGCAGGTAGATGCCGCTGGACTTGATCGCCGCATTCTCGATGACCTTGATGATGACCACGTAGCCATCCCTCCGTAGTAGAACCCAACGTTCCTCGTTGGTCCCTTTCTTCATCTTACGAAGGTCAGCTGTTTCGGGAATCTCACCAGTATCTGGGCCAATGAAAGTCGCTCCCATCGCTTCGGGCACACCCCCGGCCATCCGCTGGGTGTAGAACGCGACCCGCCCGCAGCATCGCACCATGGCCCGAACAACCCACACCACCGTCAGAAGCGTCCCAATGGCCAAGGAGCACAACGGCCAGGCCAAGGACAGGAAGTAGTGGAGCACGATGCAGATCGCCATCAAGAAGGCCACCCGCAGGAGCAAGGAGCAGCCTGTCCTGACGCTGGCCCAGCTTTGCCCAAACACCAGCCACCCTGCACCGGACAACAGGGTGTCCAGGACAGTCCAAGCCAGGCTATCCCAGGTCGTCAGGGTGGCATACTGCGCCTGGGCAGCGGCCACGGTCGAGTTCACCCGCTTCTGGAGGCAAAGAAGGGGCTCCTCCCAACAAGTGGAGTTGGGTGGGTCCGGGTCCACATCCCCGGAGGTCTGCCACCACCCATCGCTCGGACTCATGGCCCACCAAAGGCCAATGGCCCACAAACGCCACCGCACCATGGCGTCAGCCCCCCAGGAGAAACCAAAAGGGGGCCTCTGGGGCCAAGAGCTACAGCGCAACGTGATGCGACAAGCTCAAAGTATCGGTTGTAAAAACCTCCAATATAGATAAATCAATAAAACAGCGCGTGTCAAACCTGCATTTTCCACCTTCGGATTTTTTTTGGGCCCCCAACAGGGTATCTCTTGGCCCATCCTGTCCTTCGGATGAACCGGACGAAGCACACCCAACGGAGGCCCCACCAAGCGCGGCGAGCCGCCTCGCAGCTCATCCGCCGCATGGCGCATGGGTCGAAGTATCCCTTGACGCAGCTGGAGCCCAACGCGGCGATGCGGGTCGCCAAATGGGTACCTTGGACGAAGTAATTAGGAGGAAGTCTATACTGGAGGATGATCTGAGGATGTGTTTTCTTGAGGCTGTGCGTGGTTTCAAAGGGAAGTATATTGGTGCGTAGGCTGTGGGCATTTAGCGGATTTGGGATTTGGGATTTGATTTAGTTTAATGGTGGGAAAGCAGTAGTGATGAGTGGAGGCAGACAGAGAAAGAAAGAGAGAGAGAGAGGTTGTCTCAATTCGTCTCATGTGGAAAACGGAGGCAATCAATTTCAATAGTCGTCAATAGGTTCGTGTCGTGTCTTAAAATATGTTTGGGAGTCGACGACATTGTCGTGAGTGGAGATCTTGGGAAGGCTAAGATAGGCTGCATTGCTGCATTGTGATCTCAGCTACCTTTGACTTGATTGCCGAGGCACTGGATGCAGATTTCGTGGATGAGGTCATGAACACAGGGGCACCGGCAGTAGCCTCAGATTGCAAATCATTGGAATTCTGAATAAAGACCTGTGCAATGCTACCATTCTTGAACTACCTGAATGGTTGGTGAAAGAAGCTTCATGACAAGTCATTCTCCCTCTCCGATCGAAAGTTCACCAAGGCCCCAACGATCCCGGACTGCGCGGAGCAGCTCCGCAGCATTCTTCCAGCCGGGGAAGCCTGGGCCGAGGCAGGAGTTGCACAGAGACTTTGGGGAGTTGGACATAGTTGGACGTTAATTATACCGCATACCTCTTTGTACAAAGTAAGTAAACACTGAGGAGAAGCGGCTGGAACATGTTGATGTCGGATCTTTAAACATAGTATCTAATGGTATCACTATATAATTAGGTTGAATCACCACGGGAAAAGAACAGGATAGAAACAGGTTTCGACCATGGCTTCTTCATCCATGTTCGCAAAACTAGATCCTTCAAACAGGACACAAAACAGGACCGGGTCGCTAGTTGGGAGTGCAACAACATGTCAGACAGATGAACTGCCATCCTGTCAGACAGATGAACCCGACAACATGTCGTGGTTCAGGCCATTTTGAAGATGCCGGATCGTCACATTGCGCTACTGGGAAGAACTCAGAGCGTTTAGTTTGTGATTGGTTAGTTGCAATGTCTCACTGTTTGCACAACTGGAACCAGCTGGGTCCAAGGTGTAGTGTCAGTGACTGTCAGTGTCAGGAATGGTGAGCTCTCGAATCAATGACAAACACTCATTTGATCGAGTTTTTTCTACAGTGCACAGTTTGGACATCATGATGTAACACGCAAGTGTTTTCGAAATTGAGATCAAGTGTATATCCCATTGGCTGATCTTTGTCAATTCTTCCCCAATCAGTGTGAGCAAGGTATCACCTCGACAACTACAAAGGCACCCTGCGTCGATTGGAACGCGGAGTACCCAGCTATTGGAACGCATATCTGGCACAAGTACCCAGCGTTTGCAAACGTCCTTTCCGACATCTATCGACCCACCGCCTCGTTGCTCCCGCAATTGAGGTGGTGATGCAAATGAGACATACGCTTGAAATGCCCCCAACCAGCGGAGCTGGAGGGAGGATGCTAGACTGCTAGACTTTCAACCTTTGCTGCTTTGAACTTAATCGGGAATTTCTGAGACTCTGTGTGATGTCAAGGATCGTTGACAAAGCTTCGTCAGAAAGGAGAATCTCATCCATGTGACAAGCTGTTGTTTGGACGCTTGAGAGCAAGCATCTCCATAAGTGATCTGAGGGGGTCACTTGTGATCGTTAGTGGACGGCCTAGCCATCCATCTTTTTGCCGAAGAAAAGCAAAATGCAGCTGGCATCGATGCGGAAAAAAGATGGCCTGGCCACTCAGAAGGGCAGCGAGCGCTTGGCCCTATGTTAAAAGATTTTAAAAAGAGATTCTCAATGCCCCTGCAGTTCCCCTTGGCCCCTGAGAAGTTCAGCTTTTGCAGCCTTGAGATGTGCAGGATGCAGCCAACTCTGTGAATGTGAGCTACCAGATCCTCCCAGTGCTGAGCTGAGCAGTTCGACACCGCAAACCTTGTAGCAGTGTAGAAACCGATGGCACCAAGAGGTTGCACTGAACTTTAAACTCCCAATTGCAGCACGATATTTTTTCAGGTGCTGCTGCGCGTTGTTTTGAAGCCATTCTTGGGGCAGTCGCTGTGCCCTCAGCTTCTAAACCGTGGGAAGAAGCATACAGGAGGATACGAACAAACACCATCTTAGTTTGGAGTATGTACAATATATTACAATATGCCAGGCTAAGATATTGAAGATCACCAGACTTGGAAGTCCATCTTATCCCATTTGGGTCGAGGTCTCTCTAAAGCTCTCCGAGAGCTCGAGGTCAGTGACGACGCAACCGGATCCCTTCACCGATCCAACCATCTTAGCCTTCCCAGCCAACCCACTGCTCGCCAGCGCCTCAGAGGGGCTGCGTCTTGTTTTCGGCTTGAAGAGCGTGAAGAGACTGTGAAGAGGGTGAGCTGAGACCATGGCGGGTCATCCATGCAGATCATATCCTTGGCTTTTAGATCAAACATCGCACGCCAGCCATGTAGAACTTGCAATTCAATCTATTCAGGGGGATGTAGGGCGTGGACGTTGGGGAACTTCGCAGAGTTGAAGCTCTTTCACTGCCTAGTCTATAAGTGGTGTCAGTATGTATCAGTGGTGTTTGATGGCGTTTCTGTCCCCACATGTCACAACATCCCATCACGGCCCAGATCGGTGGTGTGGCGGGCGTGAGGCTCAGAGAGTGTCGCCACGTGAAAGCACCTGAGATGATGTGGTTTGGTTGACACATGTTTAAAAATGCATCCGGTTGTATTTCTTCATAGAATTTTCCCGTGGAAGAATCCAAGAATTTCTGAGTTTCAAGACGAGAATTGTTCTTCCCACTGGTGAGGGGTGACGTCCACCACCCACATTGACCCCTTTTTGGTAACCTTGCTTGTAAGATCATGTCTCAGTATCCTCATTCCAATGCTTAAGCCATACCGGCATTCCCCAAAGGAAGAGCCACTAGGTAGGGAGGTCCACCTGAAAACCCCTTTTGAAGACTTCTATACTGGGTAGTAGTGGCTTCCCTATCAGCGGAAGCTTCGATCGGCTCTTCACTGTACCAATAAGGGACCATTTATGCCTCATCGTCAGCTTCTCTAAGTATTCTGAGCTGTTGCTTTGAAGGAACGCATCAAACAAAGCGTTGGGTTCTTTGCTCCGATTCTCTACTCAGTGACTCAGTGACCTTTCTTTGGCTCCAAGGTCTCATCATCACGGCCTTGTCGCTGCTGCCAATAGGCATGATCCCGTTCAATGATGCGAAACGAAGATCCGATCATTCACGCGGCGCATGATGGCTTTTGCCGTTGACCGCTGTCTTCGGGGTCGGGGGGGCATCGTTTCACGTCACATTGGCATGCTACATTGACGGACTGGGTTTCTACCACAGAACTGGAACATGAGAGCACAGTGTGGAACCCTGGCAGATATTCCACATTCACATGTTGAGTAGATCAATTTTGTGTTTGAAGAATGTCTCTATGACTCTATTTCAGTTGGTCTCCATTGGATGGGATGATCGTGGAGGAAATAAAATCGCTTGATGTACTGAGCTCGCGAGGTCGCTTGGATGGAGGGTTTGGAACTCAGCGAGCAGCCCGACCGAGCCCGACGGTCTATTCAGTTTTGCCGGTCACCAGCTTGTAGTTTGTTGCTAGTTTGGGATCAGCAGACCAAGATCTCCTCATGCCAGCATGGATGGACATCCCAACTTGTCGTAGATGCTTTTTCAAGAGGCTACAGAGTGCCTTGGTCGAGCGCCCCTTTTGTTCCCAAAACAACCCTGAACATGAACATGAGTCCATCTCTGGCTGACTTGGCTCAGAAGCACTTTGTTGGCATCAATTTCATTCGTTCGCATGACACAACTTTGTGCACCTGACGTCCAAATCCGGCGCGCAGGGAGTGAACACATCCCAAATGAATCCAAGTGAATTTGTTACAAGCACAAGGGGATATCTCCAAGCAAAGTACCTGACATGATTGTATTTGAGCTATCAAAGACATTGCGCATACATGCGCATACTATGCTAATTACAAAGTGGTTTTGCAAGTGTGATAAATGGCTATGTCTTGCGTCTTTGGTCGAATGGAATTTCAGTCATCTCGGGTATGGTAATCTTCGGATGAAGTGACTTAAACGCTAATAAGGGATATTCATTTGAGATGGCACATTTTGTGGTGTATCGCACTATAGTATTTAATCAGTGCTTTTGCAACCTGTTCCGCACATGGGAAAATTGATCGTAATGGCATGCGCACAGCCTCGCCTGGTAAAGCCAAGTCTTTCCAAACGACTCCCAGTGCCACATTTAATTATTGTATATTTATGTATTTTGGAGTTTTGATCTCCATACCGGCCATTTTGTCACGTGATCAGTATGAACGGGAATAATACTATACATATCCGTTTCAGCAGCGGGCAGTGCTTGCACAATGCTTCTCGAGTAACTTACCTATAGGCGGACCCTCGCTGCTAATGTCAACTTGAACTTGGAAATCAAAAACCACATAGCCAGATGCCCTTTCTTTCCAAGTAATTCTATGCTGCTGCGATTCGCTCCAAGCTCCATTAGGGTCTCGAACTTACATAAATAGGACACAATCTGAAAACCACCTTTATCGATAGATCTGTCACTAATGTTGTCTTCAGAAGAGCCAATGCTGTCTTTCGACCCGCGGAAACACATGAATGTGTATAGTATACCATAAAGGACATCGCATTCAAAACGATGTGAACTCATAGGTGATATTCTACCTAGAGAAGACGAAGACCCCTTCGACAAGTGACCTTTCATGGAGGCTGCGAAAACTTATCTCACTTATCACCTTCGGCTGGAAGTTGGTCGGCCCCGTAAACCTTGGATCGAATCCTCTGGGAGGAAAGCTATGACTCTCCTGTTGCCGGCGCTGACAACCAACTTCAGCAACTCCTGCTAGATGCTTGTGCTTCTCTATTCTAACCAGATTTTCGTCTGGAATGAATTGATAATGATAATAAGATATATATTATATTCACAAAAGGGCTGCGTGCAACAGGAAAACTAACTTATATAGTGTCTTCTCTCATGTGATGCTCTCTTATCAAGCAAGCTTGGTTAAGCGGGTCTGAGACTGGACTGGTCGGAGACGCTGACGGGTGCGTGTATATGGTTTGTATATGAATTCTTTCATTTCCATTGACTTTGGACACGGGCTTTGGTGATGGGAGCAATCAAATTTGCGGACGATCAATAGCGAGAGCTTCCGTCATCCCTTTGCCTTGGTTGCAAATAGGTGGTGGGATTCCTTTGAATAGCCAGACATTTACTTATATATATAATATTATATATTAATATGTCAATGTAAGTTCAGTCCAAGATATGCCAGGGTCTTCTCTTACAGGTGCACATTGCGCTGGTATCCATAGTACATGTTGCGTAATTTCGCAACTTGTGAACGGCTGCCTTGTTGGCGTAAGTGTGTTGTATTTCCTTTAATAATTATCAGCCCTAGAATAACCTTAGCCTTTTGAGCGATGTGGTTCTATCTTGTTATAACATCGCTCAGCGTTTCAGTTCTGATTCATTCTAAAAGGTCGCTATGGGCCATTCGATGGGTCAACATTCCGAGGGTAGTGGATTTTGGACAGCGTTGTATTGCATAAAGACTGTTTGTAAGACGTGAATCTCAGTGGTGGGATTGGCAGGAATTTGGATCTGACCGCAGCTCCGCACGCGACATTGTTTGTAGTCATTGGACACCTTCATTTGTTGGCGTTGCTGTCGTTGCCTCATGGCGAGTCAGCAATGCGCACATTGTGGTCAGTCTGATTACCTGAAGAGCCTTGGCTGTGGTAGATTAAGCACTATCAAGCACTGAACTTTGCAGTATCATCAAGTTCAAAAGTTGTTCTTAAACTATCCCCCAAACATGCTGAAGCAGGGACAGGATTTGACGGAGTCATGGCAGTAAGTTTTGTTTGGCTCAACCATGCTCAACCACACAAGGAACCCAGCCCAGACGTGCTCAAACAGATCTTCCTCCTGGGGTTCCATTGCTTTCGGCCGTGCCTCAAGCTAGTTCATTTTGTCTAAGCCTTCTTTGTGGTATGATCTGAGAGTCCACACGTACAGCTTTGCTGACAAGGAGATGCTCCCTGTGTCGTGAAGCAGCTTGGCCACCTTAAAGCCAGATTGGACCTTTTGCATGCCAGCAAGGGCCACTCACAAAGAGTGTCAGCACTACACGAGCAGTGAGATCTTTTGCTTGTGCTCTTTGAGGTGTTTTACTGCGGAAGGGATTGCCAGAAACGGGATCTTCGTCGTCATCGACAGCAAGATGGCTGCATTTCAAACCACTGCGCGGTGAAGTGGTCGCCACCGACAGAGTTGCGCGAGGCCAGGTGATTGATGGCAAGTGCTCGGCCATTGCGCTCATTCTTACGTGACATTGACGTAGAAAGAATGAAGAGAGGCAGAGAGAAAGGATCAGAAAGGCATTTGTCTAGTTCAATGAGTGACAATATATAGAAAGCAATTCAGATTGTGACACAGCACCACTGCATTCTTGCTTTAGTTGATTGAATCAGAGCCACACTGTTTTTTGCATGGATGTCCCCGTCAGATTAGCTGCAAGTGGAAGGGGGACACTTTCAAGGTGAAAGTTGAGTTCGAGGCCGGCTTAGTCAGGTTGCGCAGGGCAGCAGCCTCTCTGGCAACCATCCAGTTGGGGTCGCAAGTTGTCTCCTTTCTTTTCAGGCTACTTTACAAGTTGTTCCCATACAGAATGCTTGGCAAGTCCAGACCGGTGACCTTCAAACTCTGTGCATTCTGAATTCTGCACCGATTGATGGGGTCCCCATTGTTTGGATGCCGCAGAGCTGTTTGAAAAAACAAGATCAAGTATGCATGCGAAAAGATACAGTAATTCAAGTGAATCAACTTTCTGGTACCACTGATGGAGGGTCAATCTCCAGCGGCAAGGCTACAGTGGCAGACTTGAAGAAGCACATCTTTGCGAAGCACAAGGAGTTCTTGGCCCTAGAAATTTGACTCACGCGCCTCAATTGGGCGACTGGATTTCAGTGACAGAGTTGGTGGAAGGAGTTTCCTTCAACCCCAGGCTTCCAGTGGATCAGCAAATGCTCTTTTATTCGGAGAATGTCCTGGATGGCCAGACACCCATCAAGGAGAGGGCTTCTCAAAGACCTACGGGCCCAGCTAGAACGAAGAGAAGTGAGACAGAGACAAGCTGCCAAATATTAGCTAAACCGGGTTCCTGAACAGGGAATCAGAAGCTAGGTCTGGACGCCTTCTCTTGCACTTCACTCCAAAAGATATCAAAAGATCAGTAAAGGCTTTGAATTAATGTTGACCTTGCACCTCTGTTTTGACGATGACCAGGACCTGGACATCAAGGAGGGGGAGCCTCTGACGGTGAGGTTGCACACTGCACCGTCAGGAGATGGCGCAACAAAATCTTCGGAAGATGTGGATGTGGCTTGTCGGGTCATGGTGTCTTAGTTGTTCGTAGAATATATGCGGTTGCATGCATGCGTGGGCGCACACATTGTTCAACCAAAAGCGTTTTGGATGGTCCATGTCAAATGTTGACAAGACCCGAATGGGAACATGCGGAGTACTACGGAGTATCCAATCTAAGAGAGTGAGCAGAGAGTGTGTGTGGGTCACAGAGAAACATTTGGAACATCAAGGCTTTCTGTACAAATTGAGTTTGTGTACGTGATAGTGAACCTACAAGTTACGCTGAAGCCTCTTCATTGAAACCAGACACTTCCTAATTTCGTACTATTTCATACTCTCCATGAGACCCATTTCAGGTGTTTAAACAGATCGATGATTCCGTTTGGCAGGTGATGCGAACTGTTCCCAATACTCAACAGCATTCAACCCCTGCACATAATATGTGCACATGAAAATGATACCTGTTTCAGTGGATTTGCATTTGCACCTCAATGAATTGCTCGCTGCTGCTTCTAAGCCAATTGTGAATTACATGGTAATGACTGAAACTAGGATGACTAGGTTTGTGCTGTTTGAATATGGCCAAGTATTGTTTTGCATGTGTTTGGCGTTCCCCCAAAAATGATATGGTTAGCGAAGCAAAAAAGCGATACCAAAACGATGCCAACACCTACAAAAATCTGCTTTGCTAGACCCTGGCCCAGCTTGTAAGAAGCAAGAGGTTTCTGTTGTTTCTACGGGTATAAGGTGATGTAATATGTGAGTGTCCAGTTTCCTTGGAAAACGATACCAGAACATTAAAAAGCGATGCCAATGCCATTTCAAGGTTCCATTTTTCACAACAGTTTTGATCATTGCTCAAATGTCCCACCCTGCCACCAAGGCGGTGAAAGGCGCTTCAAAGTCTTCCGCAATGACTGCCATGGCCCCATCCAAAGCAGAGCCAGGCCAGAAGGGGATTTGGCTGTTGGGCTGTGGTGAAGGAGGGCTGTAGTGTGGCTTATCGAGGTTTTATTTGGCACTCCATGCGTTAAAAAGAACATAAAATAATAAATAATGCCAGGTCGGATCGTCCATGAAATAATTTGTTCCTTTCAAGAATAGAATAGATTTTTACATATTACTTGATGATGCTCAAAGGATTACTTTAATTGTGGCCTCTTGTTTATATTTATACAAAACAAAAACACTAGACCTCTTGTCTCCTACCCTATTGAGATTATTAAGATTGTTATCAAGCTATAATTTGTTCAAGGTGATGTGGGGTAAAGAGACCTCCAACAATTGAATCACTCATGAAATTCCCTGTCAAATTTTTGCAAATTTTTGGATATGCTGTACAGAGGCAGCCTCTTTGTTTCACATACAGAGCTGACGAATTTCAACCCACCTTCTTCAGGACCAATGCGTGGGGCAATTGACATTGGTTTGTTTGTTGCACTTTGCAGCATGCGGGAGTGAGAATTTGGTACTTACATTTGATATATATATATTTATTTGTATAGTATATCTAAATATAACTCTCACAGAAGTTTTGGGTGATGACCATTGAAGTGTTGCCTTCAAGCACTGGACCATAGAGTTTTGCAGGAGCCATTAAATCACACACTCGAGGTATTGCGTACTGAACTGAATGCCACATCCCACGCGCCCACCTAGGTATGAAAGCCTGAGAGTACCGAGAGTAAAAACCGTAGGTCTGAACAAGAAAAACCTCCAAAGCCCCAACGGTCTTGAAGTTCTCTAAGCGTGGCTCATGGCGACAGGGTGATGACGACCGTGCACATCTGCAGAACTAATTAGCACTTTACTGCAACCTGATGGAGCTGGAAACAGCGTGAGCAAGGGAGTACACAAAGTGCATAACCAAGGTCTCCAAGCAGAAGGTGTAATGGGTTTGTATGAGGTTTCCCAAACACAAGAGTCACCAGCGAGTGCTCAGCGCTCCTGCGTTAAATTGCCTAAGAGGTAACCTGTCATTCCAAGGTGTACACATACTTAGGATAGGGTGTACTGAACTGAATGCGGTGCCACACGCCAGCTAAGAGACCCAAATCCTGAAAGGTCCAGGAGAATCCTAAAGGGGCCTGAGGGTCCTCAAACGGAAATGGGGCCAAAAGCTCAAGAGCGAGAACGGAACGACCGGATGACGACGGATCGTGCGTGACTGCAGCAGCTTAGATACCAAGTCTTTGAGGTTCTGGGCTTAGCCTCATGCCAGGTACGTGGATTCTGCGTCCAGAATCCATATCAGTACCGCCACAGAAGCCTCTTCGTTGGACTGTCACTTCTGTGGGGTAGACAGTCCCCCTGCTTCAAAAAAAGCAATCCAACTGGATCCCTGTGACTACAAGGGGCACACACACACGCCTCCCCGAGGGGAGGCGTAAAGCTAAGGTGAGGGCCAATGTGCACGTTTGCGCGCACAAGAGACAAAAGAATGAAGACATGACAGGAGGACGAGACGGGACAAAGGTGTGTGTGGTGGAAATGAAAGGGGAACCAAGTGCACAGGGACACCCGATGAAGCCCACCTCATTGTAAAGACCTGGGCGACCTGAAACCTGTGTATGAAGGTATGTAGAAGTGCACGTACACACTAAGGCCGGTACCAATGTGTGCGCAAACGAAGAAAAGGATGAGATGACTAGACATGAAGACAGGAGGACATGAAAGAAAAGAGGAAACAAAAGGTGTGTAAAAGGGAAAGGATGAAAAGGGGAACCAAATGGAGGGGACGAGAACCGATGAAGCCGAACCTCATTAGAAACACCTAGGAAGACCTCGCCTAGTTTGCATGTAAGCGCTGTGTGTGCACCTGAGAATGGGACAGGTTCCAATGAACCTTGAACAGGCTTTGGTCGCTGCGACCACGTACGGCTTGCCCGAGGGCTGCCACCTTTGACCGCTGCGGTCACGTAAAGGCATAAGCCAACTTGGAATTCCAAAAATGAGACAAAACGGAGTTCTTTCGGCCTAGGCCACCTTCGCCCGCTTCGGGCACTTACATCTCCGGGCAAGGGAGATAACGACAAACACCCGTTCGACGGGTCCACGGGAGGCACTCTACGGGCTCATCCCGGGCTGGCGCGAGGCCAGACACACTTAGGATAGGGTGTACTGAACTGAATGCGGTGCCACACGCCAGCCTAAGAGACCCAAATCCTGAAAGGTCCAGGAGAACCCTAAAGGGGCCTGAGGGTCCTTAAACGGAAATGGGGCCAAAAGCTCAAGAGCGAGAACGGAACGACGGGATGACGACGGATCGTGCGTGACTGCAGCAGCTTAGGTACCAAGTCTTTGAGGTTCTGGGCTTAGCCTCATGCCATTCGAAAAATTGCAGGTACGTGGATTCTGCGTTCAGAATCCATATCAGTACCGCCACAGAAGCCTCTTCGTTGGACTGTCACTTCTGTGGGGTAGACAGTCCCCCTGCTTCTAAAAAAACAATCCAACTGGATCCCTGTGACTACAAGGGGCACACATACATACACTCTGACACTTGTATTCAGTGACTCAGTTACCACGTTGGGAAGGAAGGTGATGGAACAGCAAGGCGAAAAGGTCCAAAGATTTGAATTGTTGAAAAAAGTTTCACTCGCGCGGCTAGCTGCAAGGCACAAGCGGCTGACTGTAGCTCTCCGGTGGCTGAGAACTGAAACCTGTTTGAAGGGAGAGTATCGTGATCAACAACCATGGCATCAAACCACAGCACGGAAGAGTGGAGTAGTGTCACGGCGCAGGTACGTTTTCCTGATCATCCAGTGTGGAGCTTCGTTGGCAGAGGCCACAACTGGAGATCCCTCTGCCCCCTGCTCATGTAAAGTGGTGGTCCAAGGTAGGTGAAAAGTCCGGAAAGAGTGGTGGCGGAAGACCCTTTGTCCAGGGGTGGACACACACAAGTCGCCGCGTTCGGCGCTTTTTCAAAAACCGGTGGCAGGCGTGATAGTTATGCCCCTTTTGGACATATAGATTCACGAGTTCAGCCGCAGCAGCGTCAGCGCTGGAGGTTGGAAATGTGTATTTTCGAATGGTGTGAAGTCGTGATTGGAGGCCTGATAGAGCCAAGCGCTGGCTCCCGGCAGTGGTGGAATCCCGGATTTTCCAGGGTTGAGAAGGTTGCGTGTAGGTGATGGTGCGTTGTGAGAGGTCGATGTTGAAACCGAGGAGATGAAAGTCCTCCACCGGTTCTAGTTCCACAGGGTCGCCAAAGAAATTGTGGTGGATGAGGGTTTGGATAGCCGGGTGTTGAAGGAAATGTTCGTTGTGGACAATGAAACGGTTGTCGACATAGCGATAGTAAGTAAAGTGGAGGTCTGTGTGTTGGAGGAGGTTGTTGTGAATCTGATGCCAGGAATGCTCAATGAGGGTGATGGCAACGTTGCATAGGGCTGGAGAGAGCTGGGATCCAATCCCGGCCCCTCGGATTTGTTTGTAGGTATTGTTGCAAGCCCGGAAAATGCGTGTGTTGAGGGCAAAAGCCACGATGGTGGTAATGTTGGAAGTCTGGATGGTGCGTTGGGTGGGGTGTTTCCGATGGTGTCTGCCAATGTGGGAGTGGTGGAAAGGATTGCCGGTGGCCTGGACATCCACCGTCAAGGTGTGTGTGGGTTGCTGTTGTTGCCAGTGGTGGACGAGGGAGTGAACTGCATCGATGAGTCGGTGCTGTGGGACTGAGTTGAAGAAGCCGACCAGGTCATCGTTGGTGGCGTGTAGTGAGATGTCTGGTGGGGTTTGGGTGAGGTAGCTGTGAAAGTGGTGCCAAAGCTGGGGAATGGACATTTGGCCGGGATGCTGAGGGTAGAGGTGTTGGAGGATGATGTCAAGGGCACGGCTGGTAATGCGAAGCAGGTTGCCACTGAGTGATTGGAAGTATGAAATAATTGTGCGGCCTTTTTGCCAGTGCTTCTTCTCCTTGAGGTGGACAACGCCGTAGGGAATGTTGAAGTCTTTTCGGAAGCCCCACTTGTAGCGAGTGCGCAAAATGGGGGGGGACAGTGGCGGCCAGGTGGTCGTGGATATTGGCGGCAGTGATGTAGGGAAGTGGTTCGAAAAGTTCGGGGGATTGCCAGGTATTCAAGGCGCCAGTGAAATATTGGCGAGGGCAAAACAGCCGGAGTTGTTGGAGCTCATGGTCGGCGTGGTGGAGTAATGTGTGTTTGCCAAGATGTTCTTGGAGTTGGCGAAGCAGGCGAGCCGTAAAACGGGGTTGGTGTTTGAGGTGTGTGTTGTGGAGGCGCCATTGGTGCTCAAGGAATGGCTGCAAATGCTGAACTAGGGATGGCGGAAGCCCCGGTAGTTTGAGCCATTTTGTGTAGGCCGTCTTGAATAGGAGGAAGTATCGGGCCTTGCTTGGGTAGTAGGTGCTGTTCATGTTGGCGTTGAGAAAAATGCCGAGGTGTGTAGGGAGTTGGAGTTGGTCCAATGTAAGAATGTAGTGGCCGTTGATGGTGGGAGTATCGGGATCCTGCAAGAGGGTGCGAAGGTGATCGCATGCGCAGGGGAGGTCTGCTGGATCTGGCGGGGAGTGGAGGGTGTCCTCCCATGTGCGGTGGTTATGCAGGTGGGAACGGAGGGTTTTGTGTGCGGCTTCTCTCAGTCTGTGGGAGGGGAGGTGGAGGGGGATGGTGAAATGCTTGTGCTGCTGGATGGTGGTACGAAGCCATTGCTGGCAGTGCTTAGTGAAGTCGTCGTGGGCCAAGAAGGGTACTGTCAATGGAATATTTGGTTTTGGCGGTGTAAGGTTGCGGTAGATCAGGGCTTTGTTGAGGATGTGGAGAGCTCGGCTGCGGCCAGGTTCTTCTAGGTTTGCGGCCATGCGCCGGATTGCATAGACTTCGAGGTCTGTGTGACGGCCGCTTCGTAGCTCTTTGGCTGCTTCAAAGGAGGCTGCGGTGTGTTTGGTAAGGTTGCGAAGAAGTTGGAGGGCGTGATGCTTGGTGGAGGT